ACAATAATACATTTCCATTTACCTCCTTCTCTATATCCATACAAAATATCTATCAAACAAATAAAATTAAAATTTTCTTTTGAAAAATGAAACCATTCCATCAGTATTTTCTTATGACGTTGTCACGTTCAACTATCGTCAGTAAACCGACTTTACAGACAACCGATTTTTTTATTCAGATTTATGTTACATAATGCCCATGTTAATACCACCATTTCTTTTCAAAGTGCACGAAATGGAAATTAATAACTACACGCGTATGTACATATATATATGTGCACACGGACATAGTTTTAAAAACCATATCATTCGACTCTAAAGACCTTAAAACGTAGATACGTTGAAATTTGAAATTTGCACAATCAAACCCATTACAATAACTTCCCACTGGGAAGTTAAAAAGGCATTTGACGGAGTTAAAATTTAAACAATCCTGTTTTTGAAAATAAACATTTAACTTATGGATTCTCATAACTCTCTATTTTTTAGATATGAATTTTTACGGTATACATTATGACATTTATCGGTAATTGATTCAAATCCATTCTAGTCGATGCATGGAGAATAACTGTACTGATTTAGTTAAAGTACATACATTTTTTTAATAACCTAAATTATTAAATTTATTGTGCACGAATATTATCAAGATTTTGTTTTAGGGATTTCAAGTTATAAATTAATTTATTTAATAGATTTTAAGTTAGTTGTTGATTTTATTAGTCACAATAAGGCCAGATTACCTTAAAGTTTATTCTTTGATGGATAATTTCACCAGTTATTAGCTGACTGTAGCAAAGTAGTCTTCTAAGTTTTTTATAAATTTCTGTATCTATAAATAAGCAAGTCAAGCAATGTTTTGCAAAAGACGGTCCCCACCTGTTGTCGCTATACCCTAAATATGCTGAAATATTGTCGAAGACAGCAGCTTCAGTTTTAGAATAACATTTTTTATTTCAAGTTCAGAATGTTCCCAAAAATGGTCCTTATAAGTCCAGCTTATTTAAAACAAAGGAAATGACAGATAACTAAGCATTTTCATTCGCAAAAGAAATAGTACTCAGGATTACTTTACCAATGCACTTTTGAGATTTCAGCTTCAAGCACATAGCAGCATATGAAGCAGATAAGGACAAATTATTCCTTATTTTTGGAACAGAAACAGTCAGCTGTAATTAAAAACCTTTTTGCCCTATCGGACTTTGTAATATCCAAATACAAGACTAAACGAAAAATTTACTTCCGATGAATTTATTACTTAAACTAAATTTGGAGCAAGATTGATAGGTATATTCTTTTCTTTTTTCAAGTATCTTGTACTATTTTTGTCGCTAAAAGGTCACTTTATGCGTTGGAGAAAGGGTAAATTCTCCAGTTTCCATAATCCTCACAATTATTGACAAGCTCGCATGTATGACAGAAAATTTCAGCATTTAAGACAATATTGTCTTAGTAAATAGAAAAATGTGATTAGAAGAAATATTATTATATTATCAGATTATTATGATTATATTATCAGATTAAATGAGCAAGGCCAAGTCTTAGCACGTAAGGTCAAGACCGAGACTATATCAGCAAGACCAAGGTCAAGACTACAAGTTTTCGAGAAAGACCGAATAAGCAAGCCCAAGACCAATCACAAGACTGATATGGCTAAGAACTTCTTAAGAGATTCATCGGTTTGATGAGTAATTTATTCAGATTGTCTACGGCGCGATGCGCTTAGCAATTTCGATCAATTTCTGATCAACAGCTTAAACGTTTCTATTTGACTGTGACTCCACACTTCTTCATAAAAATTAGTACAGTGCTGCTTCCAGAATTATACATATCGAATCTTACTCGAACGAACCCTCAGAGAGTCTATTGTTCATATTAATCGTTTTAAAGTATTTATGTAGGTATTACGCAATTTTAAGGTGTATTAGGGATGACTGGATATTATCCTAAAGTTAAGTCATCAACTTGTTATTCATGGTCCTTTTGATTTAACAAGATAATGAGAAGCAGGTTCTACAGTGTCTCCCTTTCAGCCCGTAGTTGTCTTTTGTTTCCTCCTTGAACTCAACTGTTCTCATGTGTCTTCATTGTTTGAAGTGTTTTGCTTACCTGAAAGTCCTGTCTGGTATGTACTGAAGTTTGTTACTCGGTAGTATGAGTTGTCGTATTTGGCACCCGGTGAGGCTTTCAGTTTCCAAACTCGTCATCTCTGACCCGAGTACCTCCAAATGGCTGATATTCTCCTTAGTCATGTCTGCAACATTAAATAGAGCGCGAATTAGGTTAAAAGTTGTAATCATTGAAGGCGGTAGGACCGAAAGAAGAGGGCCAACTTTCCACAAAAGCAAAGATAATTAATGGATCTGACATCGCTGTACCGTTCGCGCCGGGCAACAATTTATCATAAGTTTGCGAATATTTTTCTTTAACATTCTTTAACGGCATGCGACAAAAAGGTGTTCGCTTAGCTGCCGACAGAATTTCTTTTTTCCATATTGAGATGGACCATTTCGAATAATTAAAAAGTAATCTGTGTACTATATATTTACAAACACATGTAGAAAATACCACAAAGGGCGCGGTAAACGCCATCTGTAGTACGACGCTACAATTTAGGATTAAGTATGCTCCAACAAGGTCAATTTAAATATATGGATATCTACTTGCTGAAACGAATCCCGGCGTAGCTAACCTCAACGTGATAGGCACTTTACCATAATCGAATAAAATAATTTGAAGTGATCTGTTTTCTGTCGAAACTGTCAGACGCGGATCGCGATTTCGATCTCTTTGGATCTCATCCGCCGGGATTCATTTCAACAAGTAGATATCCATATATTTAAATGGACTTTGCTGGAGCATACGTAATCCTAAAATGTAGCATCGTACTACAGATGGCGTTTACCGTGCCTTTTGTGGTATTTTCTAAAACGCGCTGTTTAGACAGCAGGTAAAAGTTGGTCTGTGTTTTGTCGGAGGTGTCTGCGACGCGCTGATGAGTTCCAAAACGATCGAAATCGCGATCCGCGTCTGGCTGTTTCGACAGAATACAGATATCTTCGAATTATTTTATTTAAATAATTGTACAAGAAAATGATTAGTTACGTTAAAGCAATGAATTAAATTTAAAACGAGGAGTGGACAGACCTCGCGTGAACGTATTATAATTGCTTGTTTTTCCGTGCCAAGTGCCCCTACATGTGCATGTTAAATATTAAAATTATGATGACGTTGCTCCCCGCAGCGTGGAAAGTACCCATACAGAAAGCTCTATTTCTTGTCATTCGCACCTTTGTTTGCACGATCAATACTTACACCTATAATTTTAAAAGCTTTACATCAAACAAGTGGTTTGCCCACTTTATATCAGAGCGAGCTACGTTTTATACAGGTACCAATGTCACGTACATTTGTATTATATTACAACTAACTGAGACCGACCAAATTTGGAGGTTGTCGGTGGTGCATTAAAGGATTATAGCACTTGCATTTTAATTTCGGCGACATTTTCATGATGTAAGTATATGCAACCACCTATAGGTACATCTCAATTTGATGATTATAACGTGATTAGAACCATATGTGTGAAACCTCTATACGAAGCGTTTCTGTAAATGAAAGCTGCAAAACAGATAGTGTCTCGTGTTCTCTAAGTAGTGAACCTAACGGGCTCCTATATCTGGGCGATGGCTCCCGATATCTGGGTCGTGTGTCTATCCATCAACATCTTACTATTCAAAAAATTCAATAGACAGTAAAAACAATAACTGCAATTTACATACACTTTTACAGAAAAACGACTTATCAGTATTCTAGTGACATCTCGCTTGATAATATTCAATAAACAATAGCTTTAAGCCGGAAATTTAAATTTTACGGGGAAAATTCAAATTTAAATAGGCTCCACCCCGCTTCATGACATGGCATAACCTCTTCAGACCTTCTAAAGGTTCAAAGTTGGTCAGATGTTGATGGATAAACCATGACCCAGATTTGGGGAGCCATGACCCAGATATGGGAGTCCGTTAGGTTCATTGGTTCTCTAACCTCCGAACCCCAGCTCTCTTTTGTGCATCATTTGTGAGCATACAGTTGCATAATTTTTAAAACTTTCACAAGCATGCGCAGCATGGACAAAGTGTCGCCGAGAAGAGAGAGATAATAAATATACTCGGCACCGTAACAGCAAAGCATTTTTTCCTATACCACATGTCCATATAGGAGTATTACGTATATGATTAGAATATATGTAGAATATAGGTAGGTAGAGAAGATATTTAAGCCCTCCCACTTTTTCCAACTTAAAAATGTCAGGATTACTAGACGAACACATTCTGGATTTTCTTTATGCCTTAGTTTTTAAAGGGGTAAATCGATTTTCATTACGGATTTTTTCTACAATTTTTAGCTGAAAAGTGAAATTTTCGACCGTTTTGTTCACGGCAACCGAATGCGGCTCAAATAGACAAACAAACTCCAGTTATGCAACTAGATGGACACTTTTAATTGACATTTTAGATTCCAAATTCTCCTTCTTCCTTTTATTGGGAGTATTATTACTTATTGTTAGTTGATATGCCTACACAGTGTTTTATTGCAATTAAATATGAATGAAGTGTGTGGTTCTCGGACATGTAGTAGGTGAGCGCAAATACGCATAGGAAGAATTTTGTTTAACTCATAAAGAGTTCCTGCATGGATTTTCTTCATCATAACAAGGTCGTTAGTTAGAAGGTAGATTGGAGACGCACATTTTATGTTTTCTATCCTAAGGCATTCTACATTTTCGGAAAACTATAGCATCTATTTGGAGATTTCGAACCTTTGGGTTCTCATCATTGCATCACAGGTGAAGGCTTCGATAAAGCATTTATCAAACAATATTACACTGACCCTTACTTCTATGTAATTGTAACTGCATTGTTTTTTCCTAAAAACTTTCAAATGACTAAAATTAAAAAGAAAAAGTAGCGACGATTCTTTAGGAAACGATTTCCCATTCATCATGCGCTCAAAACCTTTCGATGGGAGTCAAAAGGTTGAGCTAATCCTACCGATATGTAGTATTACGGATTGCGAAGTACATCAGAAGAGGATCTACCATCTAAAACCTCACTGAATTATCTAAAGTATCATCGCTTTATTTGTGGGAAACAAAAGGGGGGGATTCACATAATAAAAAGGTACTTATGTAAAAATGATGGTAACGTGAGTTGCAATCTGCCGCATTATATACTTCTAACATTATCGGAATTAATACTCGCGTGTCCTGTGCTAGACCTCAACCCATCACACACACTCCTCACTTTTCAGCAGACGTTTTACGATCTCGGCCCTCTTCAGTTAATCGCCCGTAGTTGGTCGTCGTTTCTATTCAGCAATGCAATAGCCTCCGAAAGTTTCTAGTGGGGTAGTAATGACCTGCTTATTCTCATGCAAATATGTCCTCATAAATATCCACCTCGTGTACGATGCAGAAGGGAAATTTGTGCAATTTATTAAGGATTTAACCCACTCCGCTCCAACGAGTACCGATGGCGGTGACGGAAAAGACGATGTTGTCCAGCATTACTATGTACATACCTACAGGGTTTATGCTAAGGGGAGGATTAAATATTTGTACGCATATATTAACTGCTTGCCTCATTCGCTTCGGCCAAGACCTTTGTAAACTGTTACGTTACAAATATTAAGATTTATCGTAACTTCGCCCATGTGGGATGCTTTTTATTTTGAAACTGAGCGTCAAAATCGATTTGGACTTTGTTTTTTAATCCCTTAACATTTATCGCTTTTTATAGCAATAAATACGACCTCAAAATTCGTTAATTAGTTTTTCAATTCCAAAGTATTATTTATATGTACCTTATACATATAACGGTGTTTACTAAATCAATTATCTTCAAAAGGATTTCGAGTTTTTGACAATCCTGGATGTTGATCTTCAAAAAGATAAGAAATATAATTTTGCTTAGTTCCAATATCGTTCCGAAATCGATGGATGACCAGTCGTAGGTTCTCAAATTTGCAAAAATGTGGAGCCCTCCTTAGAGCAGAGACCCCAGGCTGACTGCCTCCCGCCCTTTACTCCGCCACTGACACGTCCATCAGTAAATGCTATCCCAACGACCTACACTCCATTCCCACATGCTTAGTTATTAGGGCGAAAAGACATCATTTTCCTTTGCGAATTTTGGGGAAAGAAAAAGTAGTCAGGGAGAGAACAACAAGACGGACTAAGCGAAGATGTAGAACAGTGAAATAAAGTAGAAAATGTAAACTAAGGCAGGGGGATCCGGGATGAGAGCCTGATGATATAACCACCAAAATATGCCGCTAAGACTTTTAAGTATCACAAAAGGACCTGTAATGGAACGACAGTGCAAGTATGGGCGGGATGGACAAGCTGTATGGTTAGCTGGGAAACAGGGAACGCGACATTGGTATAACTAAATATAGTTTAAAATCTCATGGGCCTTCACTGCTTTTATACTGTATATACATAACGACAACATTGATTAGGATATTAAGCATATCCTGGCTAGGTAACTAACGATGGAGGTCTAGGTAAACAATTATGGCGAATGTTTTTAAAAGTTAGAAACGTAGAATAATGAACGGCGAAGTTTTGCTACTACGCAACCCAAGGTCAAGGTTCATGAAACTCTGAACTACCTCTACTAAACTTTGGATTGCTATTTTAAAAATTAACTACTTACTTTAACTTTGAAAATCCCGTAGTGTATACAGATACATGCGTACATATTTCCTGTGACATCTATATGTCTTTCCATAATAAGTTATCGAATCAATGCCACCCTTTGATCTCCTTTTGAATAGATTTATAAATATATAATCACTGTACAGTATTACGAGTTCTATTCATACATGATTTCCGTCGGTTTGTCCCACTAAATTGATCGACAAATGGACTTAAAAGGTAATAACTTCACTGATTTGCCATTGTCTTGATTTTAATGGAATAATCAGAAATGTACGTTGAAATAATTGTTTTACCTGTTTTTAGATCCCAAAACTTCAAAGATAATTTTTCATTTGTTCATTTTAGCAGAAAAAAATAGAACACTTCTTAAATTAGAAACTTAATGCTTATACCTACACAAATTGTCACACACCAAACATTACTTGAAGCAGTTTTAATACTTCACACGATATTTTCATTTTAAACGCATATATTTACAATAAAGTACAGGTCCGACGAAGGAAGCCGGCGAGGGGTCGTGCACGTACTTGCCTATTTATGACCTATTTGGGTAAGTCACTTGGAACCGATACAAAAATAAGCTTTCAGTAGGCGTAAATTATAGTATTAATACAGACAGGACAGTAGCGTCCTAGAAAATAATGCAGAAACATAACTTACCAAAAAGAAAAAAATAAACATATTGCTTTTGTTTTATAGTTAGTTTTCACATTCACTGTCATCATGGGAATCTCTATCACTGTCGCCAAGATCAAGAACTAGTTCTTCTGTTTGTATGTCTGTTACTTGCTCACTGATCCCTATTTTTAAATATTTAATCTACGCCCCTGATAGAAATACTGAAGAAAGAGGGCTGCAATCGTTATACCTAAAACTGCCTACTTTTGCCACTGCGCACCTACGCCATTTTAAAATTTCCGCCAGCTTCCAGCGTCAGGCCTGTACCATTTGAAAATATTTGTACCTTTATAATGAGGTGCAACATTATATAAAACTGTATATTTTAGTTCGTCTTTCGATAATGGTAACAAGTTGCAAATGGCTAACGTCAACTATTAGTATGTTTTTTCTACATAACCATTTCTAAAATTACCTTCTGTTCAATGTTATTGATGGTATGTTTCGATAGTATAAATTTGTTTGGTTTGAGGCACATTTGCACGCCCAATTATTTCGTGATCAGCTAAGGGTGAAGGATACACTCCAGGGGGCGAATGTTATTCCACTCGACTAAGAATAAATCAACGTGTCCAGTGGTTGATTTCCCAAAAGCGGACTTTGGGTTCGTATGCCCTGTTGTTGTTTCATTAGAATTTCTAAACAGTGACATCTGTACGTTAATAAATTTGCAACGGTCTGCAATCGCTTTACAAACACGTACGACTATTCTGAAGCTGTGCTTTTAATATGGAATTATGCGATAGTTCTCAACCGTATAGATTGTGTCATTATTTTTGCTTTTCTGTTCGCAAAATTGTGCTAATAGGGTCGCAAGTAGATTTTAGGGAGAAACCTTGCATTAATGCCGCTCTAAAACTTCAATTCAGATTTGTAAATGATGGTCTATTTATACCTTTGGCATAGAACTACGTATTTTCTGGATCATTATGGTTTAACTAAAATATGTAACACTTTTAAAGTTAAGATATGCAATACCAATAATAATAGATTCATGAACTAAACGTCTATAATGATACTCAAAGATTCGTAATTCTTTTCATTATCCTACATCAAATTTCCTACAGAAAACGTTCAAATAATAAACTGACTAACCCACTCATGAAAGGCACACGTCTAATTAAATTAACAAACATATTTAATCCAGCGTTTAAGAAAATGTTCGTCTAGAAACTCAGGAATTAATCAATGTAATAATACTATTCTACACTAACCTATGACACTGATACATTGACCTACTTCTAATGGTTTCGACTGAATACACATGCATACGTAATAGCTGAAAGCCCTGGACGTTTTTAGATTAAAGTAGGAAACGAATAAGAGAATGAATTTTGGAAAATATCAACATACGAAATGCTAGGAAATAGATTTAGGTCCTATACTATAGTATAATAAAGTTATTTACACATGAACAATACAATTATTAACAAAATTCTGCTGGCTACAACGCTGCATTGACGTTAATACTTCATAAACATAAACAGTTCACAGTGTTACAGATAGGTCACTGAAAGCTGGCGCAGGTACCTGCACACATGCAGCTTTGCAACATTTAAATTGTGTTTTGAAAATGGCCAAGTTCAGCCAACAAATAAAAGTAATAAATTTTTACAACTTCTTTTATTATTCCGAACTTCGGTGATTGCGTCTATTACAGTTAATTTAATCTAACAAATAACAAACAATAGATAAGTACAAAAATGCAGAAGAAATACAACACAGATGTTGCTAAGTAGCAGTTGATTGAATGCGGTATTGCAATGCCGTATTTCCCTGCGTGATCCGACCAGGGCCGGACTGGCCCGTGTCTGTACTATCAAATGCATTTTTCTCGAAAACGGTGGATTTTCGGACCAACAAACATTTCCTTAATTTTCTTGGTTTATAGTGCCCTATCATCTCCTTCAAGCTTGCTACTTATTTCAGAAACATCCTGTATTTAGTGGAATATCGCCTTTTCAGACATTTTGTCGTTTTTCGCTGATACTGTTGGAGATTTGATTTTATGAGCCACGAAAAAATTTCCCGAGATAAAGTTTGGAATCAGTTTAAGCCGATCGTCACATCCTAATAACTAAAAAGCTATGGAAAAATATACGCAGTCGTAACTTGCAGCACATTGTCTTTTATTTTATTGTACAATTTCAATAGAAACTTACCAGGTAACTTATAAAATGGCACTGATAAGCAAAGGGCAGTCCTAATGGTGGGCTTTTCGATGTCAGTTGTGCAAACGCACATTGAGTTGAAGGAACACATATCAGTAGTTTCAGTGATGTTAGATAGGACTGGAATTATTGTCCATATCAGACAGGAGCCTGTAAAAAAATGAGAGTATTAATAAATAACGAAAATCGAACATCATCTTCAAATGTTAGTATACGTATGAGTCTAATAAATAACTCATTTTCATACGGTTTAGTTACCACAAATATCTATACGTAGATGGTGATATTCTGTCAATTATTTAGATATTAATCATCTTGCTTGCAATGAGCAACTTCGGTTTGATTTATAGTTTATCGAAACGACCCGTGTGCTCCAGAGAACTGATAAATTCGAAGTTATACCTTCCTCCTAATTTTCTATATTTAATTGATTTGCGAGCGTATTACGATAGATTCAGGTAGTTACTAGAGTTTGCTTCTATGATTTTTTTGGGAGTAAAATACATTTAGTTTCAATTTGTTGTACCTATGATCCAAAGGAGGGTCGTGAATCATTCTGCAGGACGTTGATGAATGTTTGTTGCAGGGCAGGAAGTCTAGAAATAAATTTCTATTCCTATACTTTATCCCCAGTGGTTATACGATAATTTCGTGAACGTGTGGTTCCTGGTCGTACCTACTGGATGTATGAGCGTGTACTTTGAAATATTTCACTGAATCTAGAGGACTTTGAAACGGGAACGTTGAAACTACAAGTTTCCTCGTAAAAGTCGCGATTTATTCGAATGCGGATGTTACCTCAACTCACGCGAGCTCTCTTTTCTCGTGAAAAATCTTATTTATATTCCCAGTTGAGCTGAATCTTCTATGGAAAGTTTAGAGCATCGAAAATCGCTTTTTATATCGCCCAACTTGTTACTAACGTTGTTGTAAGTGGAAAAGTTAATACATATGTAAGTATATGCATGTATGTGTGCTGTACAAGACGACAAGGAAACACACAAGCATTTTAACTTTTGTTTGTGAACTTAGAACTCACTTTTCTATTTTTGATATAACGGTAGCAACTCGTGTGAAACTTTAGACTAAAACTAATTTAATAGGGAAAGAGAATTTTATTCTGATTCAAATATAAGTTAATGATAGTCTTAACGATCATGGGCATTGGTGAATTATTACAAACAGCGTGTTAAACGCCATCTGTAAGATTATTGCTACATTTTGTTGAATTCGAAAACGTTCAGCAAGGTCCGTAAGGTGGATACAAGGCGTATTAGCTACTACCTCTGGTGGTAGACACTTAACCAAATACAGTGGACCCCCGGTAATCCGACAAACAGTTTGCATGGCAGTGTCGGATTAGCGAATTTGTCGGATTATAGAGTACTGTCTAAGACTGACGATTTAGGCGGTCCAAAATATCAGATTTTTCTTTAATTGTCAGTGTTTTGTGCTTTCGTTTCTGAGCTTGTGACGACATTACTAGGTACGAATACGTAATACACAATGAATAAACACTAAACAATGAACACACGCTAGACCGCACCTCTATCTTCATCACATGTAGTCAAATTCAAACTAAACAATCAGAATCAAAACAACACTCTGGTGGTGCGTACAAGTTATAACTTGTTCAATCATGCATTAGCGAAGATTGTCAAAAAAATATTCAGTACATAATAAATAATAGACCATGTCGGATTACAAGGGGTGCAGGATTAGCCAGGGGCCGGATTATCGGGGGTCCACTGTATAACAAAAAGTTTCCCGAGATGAAAATGTTCAGTCTCTCAGAGTCTCTGAAAGCGAGACTCGAGTCTCCGTCTCTCATCGAGTCCCTCTGATGTCGCTGAGAGGGATTGTCGAGACAAACTGTTTAGCGTTTCTGAACGAGAGACTCGAGTCGCTCATAGAGAGATCCTCATTTCGAATTCAGTCTCTCTAATAAATAGTGTCTCGATAGACATGGTTAAAATTTCAAGTTCAACATATTCCAGAGATCCCAGTCTTTCTACGAGAGACTCGAGTCTCTCAATTTTTCAGTTTTATTCATTCAGTCTCTCTGTGAGAGACTCGAATCCCTGAATTAACAACAGAGACTGTGAGAGATCCATAAAAACAACTAGGCAATAACTGAGAGACTGTGAAAGGCTGTGAGAGACGCTCTCAGAGACCCTGAAAGACTCTGAGAGACTGGAGAGAGACAGAAAATTTTTGTGAATTTTCTGAATGATGGTCAGAATTCTGTCAGGCCATTAGGCGCGGATCGGGATTTTGATCTCATCAGCGTGTACAGACTCACTCTATTTACTGCCTACGATGCACTGATGAGATCTAATGAGATACAAATTAGCTCTGGACGGCAGTGAACCGAAAAACGCTACTGTATGTAATTTTTGATAATTCAGTAAATTGAACGAAAGCCTTGTATGGTTTCAAGAATTTGTTTGTCTCTATTTGAATTAGTTATCTTTTAGACGCGCAGTGGTTAATAGAGTTTGGTTTTTCAATTACTTGATTTTTGCTTCCAATTTGATATTAAATTAAAAGTATCACAGTGAGTGAAATTCGGGAATAATGTGAACAAATTTTACGGAAGATAAAATATTTGAATCGGTGTCACAGGATATGGGAATATGGTTTGCCGATAAGTTAGGTGTCTGATGAAAAACGAGGGTCTTCATGAAGAAAAACTACCCCGCAAATGAAGTTAGAATTGGGTCGCAGTAAATCGAATAAATTTGGACAACCCTCAACGTTTCACATCCGATAAATCAATAATAGGCGGTAAAAATTTCTTTTTCTTTCAGTAAATGGCAGCAGTTAAATATTTTTCTCTGGAAATATTACGAATTTTGGGGTCCCGTTTTATTTGATTTTATTTCGAGAAACCAATTGTCGCTAGCGCTTATCTTCGACTAACGGACGTTTTTATTGATTTCGTGTTTATCTTGGGAAAATGATGTTGAAAATTGGGTATTAAAATTAAAATTATTAATAATAAACGACTATTTTTAGTCTATTGGACAGTTGAGTGTTTTTGTAGATAATGGCACCTATCTATTCAACTGGTTATTGTTTTATTAAAAAGTCGAAAAAATAAATATTAATTATAACCACAAATCCATAGAACATCTGTATAATTCCAAATGGCAGAATTACCGTTAAATTTGTTTGTAAAACAAAAGGCAAGGTACGCACTAAAATTTTTAGTGGCTCGAGTGGAGTGCCTTTAGGAGAGTGAGTATTCATTCTAAATTTAGAAATGATATTTGCTATTAGTTGGGCACTATTTTTACGTAAATGCATTATTATTGCTTTGTTGGTGAAAATGGTAGGCCAAAATCATTTAATTATTTCATACTTCATAATCAAGCACAAATTATGGTCATAACAAAATATTTTTATTTTTAAAGAGGTTATCAACTTAGTTAACGGTTAATTTAGAAATTCGATTAATGTTTTTAAAGGGGTGTGTTAGTAACACGGCTTTCTACGGGTTCGAAACGTGGATAGAGAAGGTTATGAATGAAAAGGTATTAGAAGGAGTAAGATAACAAACGAAGCCTTAGAAGTCAATAGTGAAAAGGAAGAATAAGATGAAGACTAATTAGATACGTATTATCAGTAAATACGAAAAGGGAAGCAAAGTTAGATTTAGATTGTTTGCAAATAGTAAGGAATGAGGAATGTTCAAGTTTTAGGAAAATACGAAACTAGAAAGGAATTAAGGTGTTTGTTTATCCAATCTTTGGATTGACGACCCTATGATGAACAAGAGTAACACATGGCAATTCTGCTTGTGCTTAATTCAGTGCTTTCTTTTTCAATAGTAGCGGTAATTACAGCTTATGGACAAGCACTCTTACGATTGAGCTATCGACACTGTTGCATGTGATGTACATAGGTCTTTGTCTGTACTACTCATGAAGCATCTTCTAACTTAACAAGGACGTGTTCGAAACGCAGCAAATCACTACAGTTCTCCAAGTTACAACAAGAAAGAAGATACGTCCATTCTCACAGATTATTTATTGAGGATTTTGCCAATTTTGGTCGTTCCAACTATAGCACATATTTTGACTGCCAACGGCGTTCCTCTATATCCTAATGATTCCGCCAGAGGGCGTTCATCTACAGCCATTTCACTATATCTTTGACTCTATGAGCGAATATAAGTGACCTTTAAACACGTTGAACATGTCGAATACGTCAAAATATTAATGATATTTAATTACAAGTTCCGATCATATGCTAAGACCCTGGATATCAAATGTAGAACTAAGATACAACTCTAACTTTCAATTAGACGTGTTAATAGTCAATTAATTCCAGAATGTTGGATCTTGATAGCCACATAAAATATTATTACAAACTGTAGATAGAATATGTATAGTGAAGTGATGGTAATTTATTACCACTTTGTATATTTATATAATCCTAACTAAATGGATAGCTTTTTCACATATCTAGGAGTGTTCTACATTTTTCCTATCGTCTAGTTTAATTATTTTAGTAGCGTGGCGTCACTTTTATCGATTTTATCAATCCTACGTCTTAGCTTGCGTTTTTTTTTCTGGAAACGATTGTTTTATTGCATCATCTTTTAGAAAGGAAAGATAGGTAGGTAAGGTATATTGTTATTCCGATCTCGATTGTAATGCCTTTTTATTGGAAAGTCTGGAGGGCGGCCGTAATTCTCCTAAGATGTTGCACGGTAAGCGTATAATAATACTATGTATCTTTACCAAATCCAATCAGAATGAAAATCAAATGAAATTGTGGACAGTGGCGATGCTTCCTTTATAGAAAATCAATAAACTAGGATAAAAAAAATGTAGTACTCGGCATGAGTTTGGTGTTCTGCCGCGAAGGAGTTATAAAACCTTTGACAAACCAAACGCCGGAAGGAAAATCCATTTTTACTGTCTGTCTCCGTTGAGGATTGGGGGGAAAATGGAAACGGAAATCATTGCGTGTCACAAAACGTTTCGGATGATAAAAAAAATTCTTGCAGACCACGTGTCAATAAGGAAGCAAGGAAGTAGAAAATATTGTATCTACCTAAGTCACAAATTTATACAATATTACTAATTTTGAGGTACTGAAATTTATTAATAATGGTAGTACAGGGCGCTTTCGCGAGCTTG